TGCGGCACGTTTTATTATGGGTGTGTGAGCTTTATTTGACGACTTGTGGACTGTTCAACTGCAACACCCGCAGACTGCAATGATAGAGCTTGGAATAGCCAGGACAATTTTTTATATAACTCCGACTGGATTCGTCTGAAAGAAGAAAGTCATATACACCTAGGATGCCTCGAGGGTGAGTAAAATACAAGCTAATTTTCATTTTTGGGTGAACTAACCCTTTAAGACAGCACAACCTATTACACAGGTTTTCATTTGTGCCAGAAACAAACGTACAAAAGCTGTCACTGGAGTGGTATCTTTTCAAAAGTAAGTAAGTAAAGTAAGTAAATTTTATTTATATAGCACATTTCAACATAGCAAAGCTATCCTTGTGCTCCTGATACCGATCAGATGTTCTAAACAGCAAATAAGAACATTATGATTAGGTTTTCATTATGAAAAGGTACACTTTTGTACCATATTTACCTCTACAGGGTGAATATTAGTAGGCTACCTTAAAGGTACATTATATTACCTAAAGTGTACATATTAGTACATAAATGGTACATAGCCTATTAGTAGGCCCACCTTTTGAAAGGTACCGGTCCAGTGACAAATTTTGTACCTTTTTTCCTGAAAATGTATAGATATTTATTTTCATTCTAACCATATTAGGACTGGAGTCGTCCGATATGTATGTGGCTGAAATGATCTCTGGGACGGTAGCGCCAGAGACACATTATGATTTATCGTATCACACCGAACTCTGCAGGACATCTGCGGTTCAGTGAAAGTTTAAGCTCGCGCCAGGATTCGGTCTCGACGTGAATTCTGACCAAAAGAGTACATCTGACCTATTGAAGAATCCGAATCATTATTTAACAGTTCCAACTGTTGAGAGACGTCTCCTTGCGTCGATTCGGTCAAGACTCTCTGTCAGATCACACTCACATGATTGTTACACGGCCCTCTGCATCCTAAACGATGCCTACAAACAGATCCGGGGAAACGCTTCTGTTCGCTCGCCTCCGTCGAGGGCGGAGGAGAGAGGGGAAGGTACAAAAGAAGACTCGGACTCGCCACAAAGGTTTTGGATGAGAGCAAGACAGACAGGACGGGAAGCGTACAAAGCCGCGGCAGTGCAGGACGATCTCGGGCCTGCACATGCACAGGAACAGGAGCGCGTTTGAGGCCGAGCTGAGCACAGCGGCATTAATGTAGAGTGGGACTCAGGTAGCAGCCTGCTGTCAATCATTCATCCATCCACCTGACTAATTGGCTTCTTACCCTCTCTCCACCCAGCTCCTGTGCTAACCGCTCGCCTCTGGCAAAAATGCAGATGAGCGCTGGAGAAGGCGTCTGGCGGAGGGAGGGAGAGGAGAGGAGGAAAACTGCAGCTTTAGTTAATTATCTCTCTGAGTCAGTCTGTCCGACAGCAGCCCACACAGCGCACTTATGCTAAACAGCAAAGCATCCTGGGAATTGGAGTGACAGCTCATTTTCCTCCTGCAATTTTATATGAAAGGTGCACCAGAGACCTGCACCCCTCCTTCTATCCATCCATCTATCTATCTCTCCCTCTTCTCCTCCTCCATCCGTTCTTGTCTTTCTCCCCTCGCACTCTTTCTGGGTGGCGAGGACTCATGGGATGTTGGTGTGGTAGCTGTCAGTGACACTGTGTATGCCTTCTCTCTCCCTCTCGCTCTTTCTCTCTCTCTGCGCTGACAGCGGCTTGTTGACAAACGCCAGCAGTCATCTCGGCATCCTGGGAAATCTCTGCTACCATTTTGTCAGCAGAATGACAGAAGCTGTTAATGTCTCAAATTCTCCCCGTGACAGAGAGCCATCTTGTTGAAATTTACAAATTAGAGTCGGGGAAAAAAAATCGTTTATTCCCTCTCTGGGGTGTTTAAGGCAAACATGCCAAAGACAGGAAGTTCCAAAGTAAGTGCAAAACGAAACAATGCGCAAACCACGGCGGTATGTCACACATATAAACCGTACAGGACTACTTCTGGATAAAATGCACAATCGACTGCAAATAAATGTGCATGAGACGCAGTACATGTCACAGACTTTGAAAAGTGGTATAAACAAAATTAATTTCATAACAGTACTGTAAATGCTGTCAGAAACAGCAAAACTAGATTTTTGAATGACTAGGAAGTTCATCAGCATTCTGGTTAAGCCTATGTTGCTTATAGGTTAAATCTGAACATTTGTTGCATTTTCTGTGCTGATTTGGACAGAAATTTAAATCTAAACGTTGCTTTTAACCAAATTAGCCAACAACAAAAATACAGCCTAATTAAAATAATTATGTTGACAAGAAGTAGCTGATCTTGTTCTAATAGTCTGAGAGGATACAAATGAACCAAGCGAGCTAGTTGAGCGTCAAAGCGCTGATCTTGTATTCCTATCCTCATTTAAGTGTAATAAAAAACTGATTAGGATAACAAACTGATCTGAGTTCACACTAACCGATCTTGTTGAACAAAAGACAGATCTGTTTAAGACTCCAATCCCTGCAAAGAAAGTCAAAACAAGTTGGGGGTGTTAAAACTAAGCATCTTTTTGCAAACATAAATAGTATAGTTATATATATATATATATATATACACACACACATTTCAATACTGTTGTCAAATGTTTCAATAACCACAAAGGTTATAGGCTATTAAAATCAAGTGTGTGCTAAATGAAGTCTTACGAAATGAAGTTAGCAAAAAGAAGGTTATAACAACAACAACAGTAGTTGCAGTTATGTATTTCTCACCAACAACTTTCACAATGTCATAAAAAACTTGTCTTGAACAAAAATGCCTTGAGATAATTGTACCAAAAGGCTAATTGGGTTGTGTGAGACAAAAACACTGAAAATGACTTTTAAGGGTCAAAGACCACTGAATAATTCACACACTGCCAGGCTGTGGACATATATGTGACGGGTAGTTGCACGGGTAAATCTGTAGCAATAGCCAAAAATACATTGTATGGGCCAAACTTATCGATTTTTTAGGATATTAAGTAAAGATGTTCCATGAAGATATTTTGTAAATTTCCTACCATAAATATATCAAAACTTAATTTATGATTAGGCCTATGCATTGCTAAGAACTTCATTTGGACAACTTTAAAGGCGATTTTCTCAATATTTTGATTTTTTTTCACTCTCAGATTCCAGATTTTCAAAAGTTGTATCTCAGCCAAATATTGCCCTATCCTAACAACCCATACATTATTTAATCAGCTTTCAGATGATGTATAAATCTCAATTTTAAAAAATTTACCCTTTGACTGTTTTTGTGGTCCAGGGTCACATATGTTGGTCTATGAAATCACTTGTTTACATAGGCTACTTGACTTGATAAGTTACTTGACAGAATACCGTAGTACTTTTTGTTAAACCCTGCCAAAACAAATGCAAACAAAATATTGAGAAAGTGAGTCATGAAACTACAAAATCAACATCTGAGCTCAACAATTTTCTTTATATTCTCCGCCAGTTTAACGGAAAATCCCCTCAAAACGAAGTTTAGAATACAGATTTATCCAATATAAACAATTGCCTTCGGTTCCCAAGAGCCTGAGCAGGAGGCTTTTAAAATGGTATAATATTCTCTTCACAGCTTGTGTTTGTTGTCATGGCCTCGCAGCGGCAGCCGGTAACCGGGCGCGTTAAACTCGTGGAGGAGCACGGGGGCCGCACGCGCACCTCTTTCAAGCGCGCGAGAGAGGTTCTGCAGCTGCGAGCGCGAGCAGAAGGACGAGATTAAAGTGTCTCCCTCCACCTGTCTCTCTCTCTCTTTCACCTCCATCTCTCCGTTTGACGGGGTGAGGAGTGTGAGGCAGATTTGTACCGACAGCACCGCGCGCATTCTGAAGTCAAACGGCATAAAAGGCGCGCGGCTGATCAAAGCGCGCGCTGCGGCGCCCGTCTCGCGGGTTCACGACGTTTGAAGTTTAAAACAAAAAACCGACACGCAACCGCTATTTACATTTTACTCTACTCCGTTTTGCATCTGGATGAAAACATTTTTTTTCTCTCTCCACCTCACTCCTGTTCAAAATCTCTGAAGCGCTCCAAAAAACTTTTCTGCACAAATAACAACATTAATACGCAAATATAGAAGTAGGCTAGAGGCGTGACGCTCGTTTGGAAAAATATTGGAATTAATTCGTTTAAAAATATTTTAATGAAGCCGACGTTTTACGGAATGTGAAATGATGGCAAACGAGCAATTTGAGGGAAAACAACCTGCGTCGCGAAGGGGGGCGGGATGAAACGGAACCGTGCGGCGCGGTTGTGGGGGGGGTTCAGATGGGATCGTGGCGCCGTTGCGGTTCAGTCCAACGGCGATATTTGTAGTTCATCTTCTGAGGAGTTGAAACGCTTCATTTACACACCAAGGGATTCGCGGTGGAGTAGGATGATCCTCTGGGTGCTTATGAATACAATTACACAGTCGGTAAACGGCGCGCCGCTTATGAATGTGCGCAAAACTTGCGCTACGCGTGACGTAACGCTGCGCCAATACGAGGCAATCCGTCGCTAGAGCGCTTTTTATTCTACTTATGACTGAGGGCTGTTATTATTTCTAGAATATAATATTACAGTAGCATTACTAATAAAAAAATAGGCTACTATTATTTTATATTCATATAAAATAATAGTGCCTCAAAAGTAGAACCAAAAATACAAACTATAGAGCTGTTTAGCATCATATAAAGTTAATATAATATATGTATATAGCTATATTACAAGGGTGTAATTTGTACTAATTGTACTAAGAAAGACTTGAGGGGAAAGGTGTGTCCCAAAGTTTTTGTCCCAAATATGCATATACACTGTATGTATGTGTGTGTGTGTATATATATATATTTGTGTGTGATTGAAAGTTTACCATTTTTAAACTGAAATCACTTTATCAAAATGGAAAAAGTTCCCATTTTGTGGAATTATACCATTCATTTTTACCAAGAAACTAAGAAAAAAAAAAGGCATTTCACACAACTTATGACGATTTCAAATAATATTTATTTGTACAAACTGCTAGAAAACGGAGAAAGCGATCACAGAGTTCTCCAGAGGTTCACCTGCTTGAATCTGAGGCACATGTGTTTAAGTGCGTAACCTTTGTCTTTATGGTTAATACAGAATCAGTCCTTCTTACAATACAATCCTTAAGAGCTACCGGCATAAACTGTCAATGGATCAGCTAATGTTGCCATATGAAACAAACGATACCAGCGAGAAGAGATCCCAGTTGCTTAACTTCATAGATAAAATAAAGCATTATCTGGAGATTAGAATGCTTAGAATTAGGACAAAAAAAAATATAGAATAATAGTTTTCAAAATCAAATGTGAATTTTAACCTACTGTAAAATCAGAATCTAACTGGCCTGTTTTAAGTGCTATACTTAGCATGGAAACATACCATATTTTTAACTTGTAGAGCATCTTCTGATCTTTTCCTTAACACCTTCTCAAGTAAAGCTACGTTAACATTTACATCCACATCTCAGGCATCATTTCAAATCAAGAACCTCCAGATAATGAATAGATAATGAACATTTCAAGGCATTACGGCACGTTAGTATTTACAGAATCTATTTGTGTGCGTGTGCAATGTGTTACAGTCTGTGGAAGTATGAAGGTTACTGAGGATAAGCTTCGATCACCATAGCATGACCCTGCAACACACATACAAGAGAGCATTATAAGAATATTTCCACGTGAGCATATGTTTTGTTGGTTCTGTAGTGTCACACACCTGTCCTCCAGCAGCGCACGCTGCCACCAGGCCATACTGACCACCCTCCTTCTGCAGTCTGTGGGCGACGGTGGTCACCAGTCTACAGCCGGTGGCCGCAAACGGATGTCCAAGAGACAGAGAACCTCCCCATGTGTTAAACTTCTCCATCGGAGGGGCACCAACCTGAGAAAAAAAGAGAAACAATGTGCAATGAACTTTCATTATTAAAGGAGACATATTATGCCTCTTTTTACAATATGTAATATAAGTCTCTGGTGTCCCCAGAATGTGTCTGTGAAGTTTCAGCTCAAAATACTCCACAGATCATTTATTATATCATTTTGAAAATGCCTATTTTGAGTGGAAGCAGAAACACGCTGTTTTTCGAGGCCTGTCTCTTTAAATGCAAATGAGCTGCTGCTCCCCGCCCCCTTTTCCAGAATAGAGCTGCTCAATTACATCTCGTACCTGCTAAAAACATATGTTTTGGTTCTGATTATCATGTTTATCGCGCTGAAAGCATGCGTGTTAAACCATATGAGTTTAAACTTCTGATATGCCTTTTCTGAGAGCACACATCCGAAGCACACGGACAGAAAGCGGCTGTCACAGCATGTGAGTACTAAACTGTTCTCATTCACACACAAGGTTATGTTAAAAACACACGAGTTACAAAAACAGTCGGTTATGTCTGTGAAGGTAAACAAAAATAAAATCGCATGTATATTTTAGATCTGTGTGGCGGAAGCAATATACATTAAATAAATCAATAAATCCACTGCTCTCTTGGAACCTCCCCATGTGTTAAACTTCTCCATCGGAGGGGCACCAACCTGAGAAAAAAAGAGAAACAATGTGCAATGAACTTTCATTATTAAAGGAGACATATTATGCCTCTTTTTACAATATGTAATATAAGTCTCTGGTGTCCCCAGAATGTGTGTCACCTTTAATAATATCATCATCATTACTGTGGCTCATCTACAGAGAGAAACAAATTATTTCACAGCCTTACATCTTGAAAAAAATTCAGGGCCCTCATTTATCAACAGTGCGTACGCACAGATGTGTGCGTAAGAACAGTTTCACGCAAAGTGTGGGATCTACCAACTTGTACTTATAGGTAGGAATGTGTGTAAATATAAGGACAAAATATAGAACCTTTTCTACGCACTGTTGATAAATAAGGCCTCTGGTCTTTTAAAAAAACGGCTTAAAATTGCCTAATTTTAAAAAAATACCCAAAAAATACTTTCCATCATGTATAGTTTTTTCCCCCACAAATTTTTCAAACAAGATTTTTCTAATTACTGTATGTATCAGCTTTAACGCAATGCCAAGTTTTCAAAATTCTTAAATTAAATTCAAAATTCAATTGAACACTTTTCAATTTAAAAGTATTCAAAATGTATAATTTAACTTACAATCTGCATAGACGTAGAAAGATATGTTCAAATACTCAATTTAATGTCAAATAACCTTACATAAACACAAGTTATAAATAAATAAGCTTTTTCACAAAACCTGTAATTTTCTGTTGTTTTTTGGATGTAGTAAAACACCCACAGATGTAGCAGAAAACATCAGGGTCATGTTTGCATATTCTTCTGTCACTGGCCATATTATATCAGGATTAGGTGTAAAATTGTGTTTTCATAATCATTCATAAACTTGAAAATGGGCTGAGAATTAAAAAAATAGTTGTAACCTGGTTCAGAGGAAGACAGGAATCATGTCTTAGTGGTAGTTTTTCTGCTGATCAAGGGATAATACAAGACTTCTTCACCTTACAAATGGTTGTTGGAAGCAAAAATGCTACGAAATGCATCACATTTTGTGAGGAATTGTGACATGCTCGAGCAAAACAGGCACTATTTTTGGAATCAGATCCCCAAAACTAGTAAGAAACAAGTTTTGGTTCCCTTTCATGGGAACTTCGAACTGCGTCCTCTAGGGGTCGCTATGGGGAACGCCTCGTCGTGACCCGTGTCTGAAGCATACATTGAAAAAACACCAACTCGTTGGCCGGCGACAGCCATGACGTCACTACCGGTGCGACTATAGTATAAAATAGGCACCGGGAGCACACATCATTCTCTTCTTCGTCTTCACTGACCGGTCTGTTTGAAGCGTGCATTCCAAAAAGCAAAGTAAGAGCTTTTTCTTTCCTACTATGGCGAGCACTAGCGAAGCGTTTAGAAAGTGTGTACATCCGTGCCGGCCAACGAGTTGGTGTTTTTTCAATGTATGCTTCAGACACGGGTCACGACGAGGCGTTCCCCATAGCGACCCCTAGAGGACGCAGTGTCTCGTTCCCTACTCAGGGAATCATGGTTACATAAGTAACCTGAGAAGATTTCATTTAGCAAATATGACACAGGGCTGTGTTTTTTTTCAAGTCACCTTTAGCAACAATAAATCAACGCTTTAGAAATGGCGAGTTTGCATGACAAATGCAACTCATATTTTCTTCGTTAAAACCTAGTTTTTGTAATTATGCTTTGTTTAGTTGATGATTTCTTACCCAGTGGGACATCTAGTATATTTATTACAGCTCAAATCCCCTTGGAGTATCCTGAAGTTTAGTGTTTTGCTCAAGGGCAATATGGTGATAGTTCATGAATCAAGCCCTTCTGAATTTTGAACACACAACCTTCGGGTTGATCATTAAGCACTATTTCACACCCACCTTTGTTTTTCGGCCCATATATGTTTGGCCGAACCAGTCAGAATCCATTGCCTTCAGGTTTGCCATGATCTGACCCTGTAAAAAAATAAATAGGTAGACAACTAAAGTATTTGCACACACAATCACTACTAAATGTAGTAAGTGTTCCGCATAGGATTTTTAACGCCATATCAGTGGAAAACTGGAAGGTGATGCTTACAGCAAAAGCTTCATGGAACTCAAACACATCGATGTCATTCAAGGTCAGACCGCTCTTCTCCAGGACCTTTGGAGTGGCATAGGTCGGCCTGAGAGAGAAAACAACCCAGACATGAGTGTGTGTCATGAGAGAGAGAGATTTAAAAAGAGAGAGCGAGAGAGAAAGAAAGAGAAAATGCATGTTTACACATTTAAAACTCACTTAATATTAGATATTGAATGATAGATATTGATGACAGATTATTACGCCTGATAGTCGATTTGGACAACCAAATATAATTATAGTTTTGTTTCTGCCTTTAGACACCATAATAATCAATCATAAAATCAGAACAGTAAAACATATTTCAACAACAATAACAATAATTAAAATAATATGCATGGCATTACGCAAAGTTGTTTTATGATGTAACGGTTTACCTTAAAATTATTTTTAAAATATTTATTGCGAAAAATGACTACCATTCCATAGTTTGGGGTCAGTAAGTCTTTTGAAAGAAATTAATATTTTATTTAGCAAGGATGAGCTTAAATTTAAAATTTCTATTTCAAATAAATGCTGTTTTTTTAACTTTCTATTCATCAAAGAATCCTGATCTGTTTTAACATTGATGATAATAACAAGAAATGTTTCTCGAGCAGAAAATCAGCATATCAGAATGATTTCTGTAGGATCATGTGACACTGAAGACTGGAGTAATGATGCTGAAAGGAATCAATTACATTTTAAAATACAGTATATTACATTAGAAAACATCTATTTTATTTCATAATCATTTTTCACGATATTACTGTTTTATTGTATTTTGGGTTAAATTAATGCAGCTGTGGTGAGCATAAGAAGCTTCTTTCAAAAAAAAATTTTTAAAAACTTTACCCCGTTTTGAATTCTTTGGATTAAGAATGACAACTAGGGAACAATGTATATCTTTATAGGAGATATACATGAAGAGAAGATGAAGCATATAAAAAGAGAACAGAAAATCTAAACCACAGAGTCTCATTTTTCTGCAGCCTATATGAATGAGTCACAAACTCACACGCCACAACACAACCAAACCACAGCAATAACAAAACCCACAGCACAAAACCTCACAGGCCTGAGACAGAAAGACAAGAAGAAAAGAGGCAGGAACTCACCCGAGAAGCAGCTGGTCTTTTGGGTCTTGAGACACGTACACAAAATCTCTGAAGGTAAAAACACACAGACATAATATCAACATCAGCAGCATGAGCCGCTGTGTGCTGTAGAAATGATAATGGGACACTATAAACACCGATTATTACACGACACCTACAGCTTCAGGAAACTAAGCTTGATTAACTGGAAAATGGAAATACTTTACTATAATTTATTAAACAATTACATTTACTGAAATGTAAATTGCATCTTTTTTAAATGTGAAAATACTTTATCCTTGACCAATATAATGTGCAGCAACAGTTTTGTGGTAAACACTGATGTTTTTGGTTTTCAGATAGTACTTCTGAGCCATTTTTGCAGCCTAAATTCTATACATACACTTGTTTCATGGGTAAATTTTGACAGATCAGCTAAATTGTTTAAGAAAACACAGATGATGTTGTCAGTGAGATGCTGCCGGTGGTAGTTTTTAATGTAAGGCATTATTTTTGTTTTGTACCTGAGATACGCTTTAGGCTTGTAACCCATAGCAAGAGCTTTCTCCTCTGACATGATCAAAACCGCAGACGCTCCGTCAGTCTGAGTGAACACACACACACAGAGCAAAGCTCATGACAAATCTGACAGATATTCCTTAAATTAAAAGTCTGGTAAAATAAATTGGATAAACCAGAAACTCAAATAAACTGACCAGGAAGGAGGAGTTTGCGGCTGTCACTGTGCCGTGAGGCTTGATGAAGGCGGGTTTCAGTTTGGCCATCTGTTCCATGGTGGCAGGACGGATCCCATTATCTTTAGACACAATATCCCTCCCTGTGACAATCACATCACCACATTTAAAGTTTAAACAACAATCTGAATTGCTAAAAAAAAAAAATCAAACTGTTACTCATTTGTAACATTTGCATTTGTTGCTTGGTCCATACACACTTGGATGTGAAGGCACCCTCAGAAGTGTTAATAAAAGTCTTATTTCTGTTCAAATCATTTACTTACTGCACTTTCATAATTTGCCTGCAAGCTGAATTAACAAAAATAATTTAAAATATGGAAGATTGTTTCCACCACAATGATAAAAAAACAAACAATGCAATTGCGACTTTCTCACAATTCTGACTTTTTTCCCCCCTCGCAATTTTGAGTTTATATCTCACAATTCTGCCTTTTTTTAGTCAGAAAAGTCTGTGAATGTGTGAAGAATGTGAGATGTAAAATCTCAATTCTGAGAAAAAAAAGGTCACAATTTCAAAATATAAATTTATAAGCTCAAAATTGCGAGCAAAAATTTATAATTGTGAGATGCTAAGTCGCAATTATATATATATACACAGGTACATCTCAAAAAATTAGAATATCATGAAAAAGGTCAATATTTTTTGTCACTCATTTCAGAAAGTGAAACCAATATATTATATAGATTCATTACACAGAGTGAAATATTTCAAGCCTTTTTTTCTTGAAATTTTGATGATTATGGCTTACAAGATAATGAAAACCCAAAATTCAGTGTCTCAGAAAATTAGAATATTGTGAAAAAGTTCAATATTGGAAAGTCATGGTGTCACCCTAATCAGCTAATTTCCTCAAACCACCTGCAAAGGTTTCCTGAGCCTTTAAATGGTCTCTCAGTCTGGGTCACTAGGCTACACAATCATGGGGAAGACTGCTGACTTGACAGATCACTGACACCCTTCACAAGGAGGGTAAGCCACAAAAGTTCATTGCTAAAGAAGCTGGTTGTTCACAGAGTGCTGTATCCAAGCATATTCATAGAAAGTTGAGTGGAAGGAAAAAGTGTGGTAGGAAAAGGTGCACCAGCAAAAGGGATAACCGCAGCCTTTTTTTTTATTCCACGGCAATTGTGAGATGTAAACTCAGAATTCTGAAAAAAGGTCCCAATTCTGAGTTTATATTCTAGAATTCTGCCTTTTCCCCACAAATCTGACTTTTTTCCAGTCAGAAAAGTCAGAATTACGAGATATAAACTTGATGAAAAAAGAAGAAAAGTTCCAATTGTAAGATGGGAACACTCAATTGGAATTTTTTATCCTGTGGCAGGGAAAAAAAAACTGAATTATGAGAATTGCGAGGAAAAAAAGTCCAAACCTCTTTCTGGCAGAGGCTGAAATGCTGTGGCAAGAGCTGCTGGGATTGTGTTAATTGTTCACCTGGCACTTTAAAGCTGATGACGTCACTGAGCAGCTCGCTGTCTTGAGCTTTCTTTGCAAGCTTGTGAGATCGCAGAGCAAATTCATCCTGCTCCAAACGCGACACACCGAATGCAGCCGCCAGACGGTCCGCGGAGTGTCCCATTGTCTCGGCTGTGGAGAACTCGGCCACAGCCGGCAGCTAAACACACACACACACACACACACACACACAGAGAGACATTTAAGAGCTTTTAAAGAAGGGAACCAACAATACCATATGGACTGTAGTTAGACAGACTAAAACTATTCCGTTTCTAGATATGACGTAATAATGTCTTTTGGAGTAATATGTCACTTGGAGTGATAAATGCACTATACATTAATTGTTTTCTGTGATTTGGGCAATGTACCTAGAAAGTCAAACTGAGGTGCGCTGGGGGCAATAAGTGAGGTGTATTATGGGTAATGTAGTACCTCAGGTGAAAGGTGAGCGAGGCGGATGGAGCCCAGCAGAGAGAGCCGAGCCCCGAGGGTCTTTGCCTTGTTGAGTGACAGCATCGTCTTCCTCATCTTGCGGCTGTGACGAATGGGAACGTCGGACATAAACTCAACCCCACCGGCGACGACGGCATCACACTGACCGGCAGCGATCAAACCAACAGCTAGAAAACAAATTAACAATCAATAGTTCAGTCCATTAACTATCTTCTGTTCAGTGCCTTCTGCTGAAGAATGTTCAAGTATAATTCAACTACAATCTGTTAATGTGCACTAAGGGAAAGTGATTAGCTGTACAGAAGGCTGTGTTTGCATATATATATGTGATGTATTCAATAACCGCCATCATCATGAAATGTGTTCAGTACCTGTGGTCATTGCTTGATTGGAGGAAATACACGCCATAGTCACAGTGTGAGCGGGAGTCTTATCTGAGAATCCAGCACCAAGTGCTGCCTACAAAAAACATAAAAAAATAATTATTTCCAAATTAACATCATAAATAATTTTATAATCAAAAACCATGTAGCAAATGCAACGCTTCTAAGAAATGGTCCTTTCACTAATGATGGGACCAGAGTTATTATAGTTAACTGAAAAAAAAAAAACACTTCAGTTACGTTAAATAAAATAAACCTTAACTGAAACGGAAAAAATATTTAAAACATATAGTTTTTAGTTAGTTAAGGCATCATTTCTTTTTTTCCGTCTAATTTGATGTACTAACATAACTAAAACTAAAATAAAAATTAATAAAAACTAGACATATTTGAAGAAAAGATAAAAACTCAAAAATGCAAAATTTAAAATAAAAATAAAATGAAAACCGCAAAATATAAAAATAAGAACCAATTCAAAATATTTATAAAAACTATAACTGTTTTTTCACAAATATAAAATTGCATAGGAAAAACTAAATAAAAAAATATATTTACAAAAACAGAAATGGATATCTCATAAAATAATGCACATAATTCATAGTTTGATTTCAATGTGTGATTTAAATGTTTCAGTGTCAAGTCTGATGTGAACCAATGTGAATATATAAAGTACAGTACAACGCAAAATCATTTTCGTGGCCACAAAAAGATAATTACGACAAAAATCACAGGTACAGTAAAGTCCCTTTTAAATATTCACATATTTAAACCTTTTAATTACATTTTGAATTTATGCTGTGAATGAGTCTGCCTTGTTTCGATGCATAGTATGTGCTGACAACATCCACACATGTTGAAAAAAATCCCTTGCATTAAATTGAATTGATAGACAGCTGTGGAAAAAGGTTAATTCAACATCCTGCTGTACCTAATTTACAAACAAACACCGTCACTGCAGTAATGCTTTGCGGTCAGATGAAATCTCTATGCAGATGCCTGATTTCTCATTGGTCAGCATGTTTCTCAGCTGCAGCCAATCATTATACACAGATCACACAAACTAAAAATAGCTTCAACATCCAAATTCTATTTTAGAAATCATCTCAGACTAGAGGACAGACTGACCTCTCTGGCCACATTACTGGTCTTCACTTCCTGAATAACAGTTCCATACACAATATAATCAACAGCATCTTTAGGGAGACCGGTTCTCTTCAGCAGACCTCTGATAAAAACACAGACAGACAGTTAGTCCTGAACATTACAGTGACGAGTGAATCTTTACGTGTGTATGCGATTGTGTGGTGACTTACTGTAATGCAGCTCTGGCCAGATCGTGGGGCATCAGATCAGCATATCTAATAACAAATATAGAGAGAGCACAGGCACAAAGAAAGATTTCTTCAGTTTTTCGCAAGGCAGGACTGCATTTATATTCCTAAAACTTTCTGGTTAGAGTTTGTCCTAAATCTGCAATTAATTCAAAACTTTCATTTGTAAATCATTTCAGAGTTTTGGGTTTTGTAACCTTAAATATGAAAATGTCCTTTTGTCTTAAATGTTTTGCTGTTTGCCATTTACTAACAGGTAAAAAAAACTGAAGCAAACAGGTGTGATGCATTAACGTCTTTATGAAGTGAAAAGCTGTAAGTTTATAAGAAACAAACCCATTATTAAAGGCATTTTAACTTCAAATCATCGCTTCTGGCCAAAATATCAAATAGGCCTATCAGCATAATCCATAATAATGCTTCCTCCAGTGAAAAAGTCCATCCACTGTTGTCACATCAAAATCCACCCACATATTTGTTTACAACTAGTTTGGACTGTTTTTACTTGTAAACGATGCTTGATCTCTGCATACTTCTCTCCTGATTCAGATAAGATGAATTTTCACTGGAAAAAAAAGCAATATTATAGAAAGAGGACTCGTATTTTAGCCGTAAGCAACAATTTGAAGTTAATAAAAAAAATGTCTTGATGGATTTGTTTCTTCCAAGCATGCAGCTTTTCACTTTGCAAGGTTTAACTGATGGACTGGAGTTGGTGTGGTGTGGATTACTTGTGGATTATTGATATGTTTTTATCAGCTGTTTGGACTCTCATTCTGACGGCACCCATTCACTGCTGAGGATCCATTGGTGAGCAACTGATGCAATGCTACATTTCTCCAAATCTGTCCCCATGAAGAAACAAACTCATCTACATCTTGGATGGCCTGAGAGTAAATTCTCAGCATATTTGCATTTTTGGGTGAACTATTTCTTTAATCTCCTTTCTGCACCCTACAAACTATTGTGTTATTTAAAGGGGTCATATGATGCTTTTTTAAAGATCATTATTTTGTGTATTTGGTGTAACAGAATATGTTGACATGCTTTAATGTTCAAAAAACACATTATTTTTCAAACACTGTACATTATTGTAGGTATTGTAGGTAGCAATCTATATGAGTAGAAAAAACAGGATAGAACTGGGTGTAGATCAAGATATTAATATTCTGTTTTTAGCCACAGTAAAATCCAGAATACTCATTAATTTCCATTTTTATACATCCATGGATGACGTTTGCACATTTGAAATGAAATGGTGTAAGAATGAGGCTCTGTGCTCCGTTATTGATGGAAACATATTTTTTTCTCTTTTACTAATGTAAAAAAGGAATTTGTTTTGTTTTCCTTGTGGTATAAAAGGTTTGTTGAAAACGTGTTTTATGTGAAAAATTAAATCGCATCATATGACCCCTTTAAACAATTGCTTTTGTTTCAATTCACAAAGTCTGATGTGAATTTCACATAAGCACTTGTCAGGCCACTTCTTCTCTGACTTCACGCTCATCTGAATCCCAAACACATTCTCACTTACGTTGTGCCAGACAGGAGGAAAGGTGTTCGGACGCCATCAACCAGAACGACGTTCTTCACTCCTGATTTGGCCAGAGTCTTCTTGCTCTTTGCTGTGTGATTACAAAACACAACAGAAAGGACAAGATCAACAAACATTATTTACAGTTGCAGGGCTCTACAGTGCGACCATTTCAACTGAACGACTGAAAACTACTGCGTGCAACTATGAAAAAATATTTAGGAGCACCAGTGCGACTGACCAGATCATCATCATACTTGTGATTGTGATCACTGAGGGGAGCTTCAAAGGTTTCTACGTGTTTTTGCAGCGTTGAGTAATGTATCATCTGTAGACATATCTCATGAATCCTTTCATAAGCAAAGTGTAGACAGGGTGTAAATAAGAGATTCATTGCGCAGTGTAGAGAGCTTCG